GTAGGGGAGCAGGCTCGCCCAGGAAGAATGAAGTACGGGCTCGAATTTCGCCCATAGTTTGGACCTTTCAGACTACTTCAGTTGAATCTCTTCGAACCAGAAAGAGGATCATCAAGATCAAAGAGTCAGGAAAAGGCACAGGCAGAGGATCCAAAAGGATAAAGCCTTCGCCGCTATGCTCCCATTCAGAATCGTAGTGGCTTATTGAATGCGATGTGGCCTATACAATGACTTGCAAGGCAGCCGATGTACAAGTCAGTGTTTTATCCTCCCAGACGAATCTGGTACCAATTCACCGTCCCATGAGGAGGGAAGGCTTTCACGCGCGAAAAGGGAGCACGGCTATCTCTTTTGATCCCACCCACTCCCCTCGCCACCCCCTCCAATAACTCTCATTTATTCGATTCTTCAACATAGTCCATTGATTTTCATTTTCAATGATTTTTTTTCTTGGTTGGCCTGGACGAGAGGCGACCTGGGATTTGATCCCCTGACCGTGCGCGTGTTAGTCGTGCCACTTGCCCCTACTCCGCCTTCCCCGCAGAAGTTCCCTAAACAGGAGAAAACATGCATTGCCTACAATAATCTCAATTTCCATGTTGAAGAAAACACTGCCGAGGAAGTGATATTGCGCATTAGTATGCGCCATTGTAACATATAATCCAATTTTTCTCTGCATAGTAATGGTGAATTATTCCAAGAAGTCATCAGTTGACCGGTTACTCAGACATTCTTTCCAACATCACAATGTTTACAGCGTCATCTAAATATTTCTTGGAAAGGCGCCTACCCATAACAACTGAATAATGAAACATTTTTCAAATAATGGACTACGTCACTAAAGTAAAAAAATAATCCGAATAATTCAGTCATAGTATGTACAAAATCAATGTAAAGGCAGCAAGACGTGACACGACGTCATGTTTGTCGGTCTTGGCACGTCTTTTCAAATTTCTGTTCTCTGAAGAGGGCGCAGACACGCAAACATGACGTATTCTCGTAGCGTCGCGCCGTCTCTCCTCCACG